GGTATTCATAGACAGTTACCATCTAATTTTTAGCTACTTTGCAAAGAAGAAAGAGTAGTCCCAATGTGCACAGCTGACGTTGACAAATCCCGAAAGGCTTGCAGCTGTCATGCAGTGAAAGATGGTTCAGTATTGACTGAAGACTTTTTCAGTAGTCTAGATAGAGTCCAGGTCCTTGAAAGGAAAGTGCAATGAAATTGGGACCCGTTTGAAGGTTTTACACAGGATGGTTAGCTTTTTATGCCATTAATAACATAAGAAACAAATGTATCATTTTTCGGATCGAGGTTTCTTTGGCAGTATTAAATGAATAGAATAAAATATGGCCTCTATTTATCTAGTGCCTGCAGGAGACGTCAGAAATTTACAAAAGACTATCAATCTCTTCCCCTGGGAGCTGTAAATGTTGACATATGTCTGCACACAGTCTATAATGTGCAGACATTTCAATTACTGTCCAAGAACTTGACTAACATACCCTTACAGAGCAATATTCTAAAGCAGCTTTGCCGTTTTCCATTGCACACAAGTCTTGGTATGTTTTTCGTTAGCATGTTTTCCTAAAGAAACCATTCTCGACCTTCAGCCATGTTTCCTTGCATGTCCCTTTGAGGATCATGACGCATAAAGCTGTCTCTGTCTGTCTTACATCTCTTGTTGTGGTACTTTTGTTACTTTTGAAGGTAAAGATCCCCTGAGGTCGCTGCCTTATCCCTTAACAAAAGACAAATCAGATGTAAGAGTAAACCTCTACTGACAGACCACTGTCAGACGACTGACAGTGGGCAACTTCTGTGTCTGCTGCATTGAGACTGAACACTGCGGAGCTAAAAATAAGCAAAGTGAATGCAGATGGCATGGTCATCTCTTCCCTGACAGTGTGACTCAGCTGTGTTATGCTGCCACGTGATACTGGTTTGTCATGTGCATGCTGATGTTTGCCTGCCCAGCATGGCAGAGAATTATAATGCTTAGCAGCATGTTTACAAAGGAAACATAGAGAGAAATATAATGAATGGATAGTCATGCTGGGCAGATACAGTATGTGGACTGTCTTAACCTTCTAACAGCTAAATTGTACTGGAAACCTGACTTGCATCTTGGCGAGCAGTCCTCTAGCTTCTGCTCTTTACCTTGACGGCTGTATCTATCTTCACAGGGGGACGGCATACATCAGATCAGAGAGGCGCTGAAGATCTTAGCCGAGAGGGTTTTAATCCTTGAGACTATGATCGGTATTCATGGTGAGTAGGAGGCCTGCGGAAGGGGCAGCTTTAGGCAGGGGTCACAGCTGCGGGTGGGCCCATGCTCCCACCATGCCTAACTGCTGGGACAGAGGGCAGGAGCAGTCACAGGCAGCCCCAGGACTTGGACAAGTCTTTTCTGCAGCCTCACAAAGTCCCCCTGTCACTGCTCTCTGATAGGACATTAGCTTGCAGATGTTCCAAGACTTGCAGGCAGACCTTGAGCTTCTGGCTCGCAGGGTGACACTGTTGGAGGCTATCATCTGGCCAGGTAATGCCGAAACACCCCACAGTCCTGCTGGCCCTCGTTTCTCAATTAGATGAAGAAAACGTAGATCAAGTGTTAGAGATGTAGGATTTATAATTGCCGTCTGTTTTTAAATGTAATGTCAAGTTGAGAGGTTATTTTGTATTCATGTTTTGATGACAGCAGATGCTAAAATTATTTTCTAAGCCTCAAAAGAAGCATTTTAAATTCTAGATCGGTTTAACATAACTTATATGTACACACACACTCAGTATATGGGTGTGCTTGTACTTTATCTTGTAAAGTATTCGTACTCCTTTAACTTTTCCACCTTTTATGATGTTACAACTATAAACTTCAAATGCATTTGTTGGGATTTTATGATAAACAAACACAAATGGGAAAATGGTACATGGGCTATAAATTTTTGTACAAATAAAAATCTAAAGTAACACCTTGCATCATCAGTCCTCATGAGGCAACGCTTTGTAGAAAAAGATTCACATCATGCAGATGGAGCGGAGAGTTTCTGCAAACATCAATCTTCAAGTCTTTCCTCATGTTCTCAGTTGAGTTTACCTATTGTTTTCTAAAACAGTTATGAGGCCTGATTAATGATATTTTTGATCTTGCATTAAATCCCAATAAAATATGCAGAAACTTGTGGCTGTAATGTGAGAAGTTTTGAAGGATATGAATAATTTTGCTGGTCCATTGGGTCTGAGAAGCAAATGAATCAGATATTTACATGGCTGATCGCAGCAGCCTCAATAAATTGGGTTGGCAGAGTTTTGAGCATTAAACGCATAACATTGATTCCTGTCACTGAGTCGTTTATTTCGCTTAGAATTAGATTTTTTTTAAGTACGGTACGTTCTTTCTTTTACACCTTGTAGAAATGCCCAATTAGATTCTTACATGTTTTGTTTCACTGTTTTGTTATTTGCTGCAAAATGATGGTGGATAATTTTAGCCTTTTTAAAAATGTAATAAATCTAGCAGAAATGCTCTTTTGTAACATTAATATTTACTTATAAATATGTTATCAGCAAGATAGCGAGTCTAAGAATATATAGAGTCTTCAATACTACATATAATTGTAACTCCTCAAACATTTTTAACAAATCAATTTAAATCCGGTTGACAGATTTGCATTTAATTAGTTGCATTCTAAATTGATTGTAGGTATAAAGTAATGCAGTCAGCTTCACTTTATCATTACAATCAGAAAAGGTTACATGTCTAATACACTCAACTGTCAATGACTTTGCAGGAATCCAAGCAACCACATAGTGACACTGGAAAGGAATAATTGCTTTGTAACAGGAAAAACTAATAAGAAATAAATGTGTTTTATTATTATTATTGTTATTATTATTATTATTATTATTATTATTATTATTATTATTATTTCAACATCTAACTTCTGTAATTTAATATTATAGAATGCAATATAATATTGTAATATTAAGAATGAATTAAGAGTTAATGGCAGTGATAGTTAATTTAGGGGTAGTACAATCTTTGGGACGAAAAACAGAGCAAATTTAGTTCATGGCAGTTCTTCAGTCTAGGAAACAAAAAAGGATGAAAAGGGAAAGTCTATCCCATTTGAAAAAAAAGAAGATGGAGGAAACAGAAATGCCAGGCTACCATGTATAGAGAGACAACCTGGTGAGAGAACATAAAGTTAAAGGGAGTCATTTTTTGCAAATATTGAATTAATTGAAATTAGCAGAGGGAAATTAGAAGAAGCCTAAACTTAGAGTGACTGATTGGGACTTTTCAAACAGATCCTTAATGTGAAAAATCCTTTAACACTTGATCAGCAATGATTTTCTCAAGAATTACGGATGAAAAAGGAACAATATTCAATTCATTCAGGCATCTTAGTCAACAACAGGTTTCTTAAGTAAAGGTTCAATTACAACTACCTTAATAACCCATGGCACATTTCTGGTTTTTTTTGCAGACAGATTAAACAAAGGGCACAGTGATCAAAGGGAAAATGTCCTCTAATAACTTGGTTGGATTAAGCTAATATTTTATAACTCAACTTGATAAAAAGAAAAAAAAAGTCCAAACACAGATCCAAGTTCTACAGATGTGTGTAATGCTAAAATTAGGAAACGTCTTAATTGTACTTTTTCAACATCAGTCGACTAAAGAGTCCGCATGGCCACACATGTTGATGGACAGGGAGGCCCCTTTCCAACCGCTGTCTTTCTTCAACAGAGCCTGATCTAGGGTCTGGGGACGGACCGTTCGGCACATCCTCCCCTAGTTTCTACAGAGATAAGCGAGCAGGTGCGTCTCCACATCGACTTGCTTCCCCTCTGTTCACCGACACCAAGGTTCGAGGAAAGTAGCACCCCTGTCCTCCACACTGACCCTGAGGATCACAGACTGGGCCTTCCCCTCCAACAGGTCTCAAACCGGCATTCAGCACATTCAGACCTTACCTGGTGCCCAGTCTGGGCTTTTATTAAATGGTTAGGAATGGGGAACACCTCAGGGAAACTCAACTGATAACTCCATGACATCCTGATTCATCTGCTACCTGAGAACTGCTTTGATTTCCCTTTCCATCCAAATGCTAAAAAAATAAAAATAAAATAAAAAAAATAAAACAACTGTAACCATGTTGAAAGAAAAGGGAAGATTTTCATCCTTGGTGGTTGTGACAGTGCGAAACAGTTCTAGACAGTAAGGGTTCATTTACAGAAATGAGAGGTAAAAATCAGTGTGAGGTTTTGCTGCTTTCATAGTTTGTCTGCAATCTGAAGAGAGTCCATTATTTAAATACTCTGAGCTTGTACAGTCTGTATTACAAAATTACATCCTCCTTCCTCTAGTATTCCTATATTTTCATCTTATTGTTTAACTCAGTGTTATGTAGTGCACTAAAAAAAGATGAAGTCATCTCTAAATGATGTGTTTTTAAATGGTGACTAGAAGTTTTCTGGTGTCTTTTATTTCCGTTTTGTGTAAGTGACTAATCAACGTTTTTTGACGCAAAATCTGCACAAACATAGGCATCTATGTTAGATGGTGCTGCAGTCTGAAAACTGAATGTGTTGAAATTAAAACAGCACTCTGCTGACTGGGATCCTAAACACACACACAGAGGAAACTGTTATTTGAACTTGAACATATTTTACCACTGTTGTGTTCTATGACTGCTTATACTGCTCTGATGAAAAACACTTTTTCATCTTATATCAAAGTTATTGTGAGACTATTTAAAATTGTAGTTTATGTTGTAAGCTGTTATGTAACCATTTTGTATTTTGATTTTTTTTTTCTTTTATTGCAAATGTACTGTGTTAAGATAATCCTGCTTAGATGATAAGTGTAATAAAAATGTTTTTATTATTTTAACATGTCACCTTTTTGAATTGGTGGTACAAAAGTATTCATTAAACACTTTTACAACTGAAAAAAAAATAAACTGACATCCACTGTCTCTGATGTGCAGATTTGGAAATAAAAAAAAACATTTTATTTGGGAACATTTCGACTTTTTGTTCACATTTTATTAAAGGTTCTTCATGTAGCCCACAGGGAAAATACAGAAGCTCAGCAAAACCCAAGCATGATGTGTGTCCAGTTTGAGTCAAAAGTGCAAACGTAACCAGTAGTGTCAACTTGTTTAGGGGCTCTGCTGTGGTGGATGGCTCTTTCCCTTAGATACCACCACAGCTTGTTCTCCAATGCTGTCTTCAATAAGCAGCGAGATGGCGCCATCTAGCTGCTTGGTTGCTGCTAATGCCACCACAGCTTTCTCAGTGGGGAAGCCCATCTTCTCCAGCTGCTGAAGCCTGGCAGGAAACAAAAACAGACATCTGCATGTAAATACAGACTTTAGGATTTAAAAAGTATTAAGTGAAAAACCAATTTATTTATAAAATACACGCCATGAGCTGCACTAACCGCAGAGATGAAACTGATGACTTTGGGACCTCTACTTTCGTGTCAGGAGCGTCCTGTAAGGAGGCCATTATCCCGGCTCGGAGCAGCTCCTCCTCCAGCACTTCTGCCTCAGACACGGCAGCAGCAGCCTGCACCTCCATCACCCAGGCAGGGGATGGAGGCTCCATCCATTGGTGGAGGTTGTAAGCTGTGGGGTCCCTCACTGGAGGAGGAGCTGCGTGATCCACAGCCATGAACTGGGGAACCGATCTAAGCAATTGACAAATTGTGAAATTTGTTTTATATGAAAATGATCAAGAATATATTTTAAAGGGATAGTTGGATGTTAAATGTAATTGACTTATAATACCTATGTGAGGTGGCAAATCTTGGCAATCTGACCCTTGCTGAAGTAGGAACATACATCCAATTAGGAATGAAAGCAAAAATGTTGGCCTCCTCCAGTTCCTGTAGCGCCCCAATGAAGGGCTGATGATCTGCATGTTAAATTAAGGAGACAGGGGATAACTTGGCAGAGAAACACAGTAACCAAAGTTTGAAAGAATTCATTATAGATTTAGTGGGGGTAACTTTCAGCCCAAATAAACCACAAAGCTATTATACATAGAGGGAACATAGAGTGTCTTAGGTCCAGAGCCTTCACCTTATCTTAAAATCTGCATCCATAAAGAAGTACACACCATCCAAAGACACAGAAAAGCCAAGCATACAGATGTAAGACCTAAAACACCATAAAGATATGCAGACTGTCCAAAATAAAGGATGGCCTCAACAAGAAACAAAATTTTAAAAAAGTGACACAGAGGAATCATAAGAGACAGAAGATGAAAAAAAGCAAACATACAAACTCAAACTAAAACTTTTGGTTTATAGGAGGTACCAGTCCTGAAAAGCATCTGCAGGAAAGGATACAGTTGTGTCCGATGCATATTGCACAGAGGTGAAGCAGCGCTGGTGTTCCAGGTAGAAGCAGCAAACCGCTGAGCAGAAAAAGCCACGGCAGGAACCAAACTGGCAAACACCTCAGCAGCCTCCTCTGTGTGGCCTGTCGACACTGAGCCGTAAATAGAGCGAGCTGAATGGCAGAGAAGCCACAGATCCGACTCGCCTCCCCTCCAACCACAAACAGCACCAGGGTGTAAATGAATGCCAGCATGGTGATTGTGATGATGGACAGGAGCAGGAAGGTCACTGACCCCCAGCGACGCTCCTGACATGATCCCAGCAGCAGCAGCAGGACCACGCTGATCAGCAACGAGGGCGAGTCATCATGACTGAGAGCATACAGAAACACATCTGAGGAGGAGAAAAAAATAAATAAAAATCCACATGCTTACTTTGCGTAAATCCGAAGCGGTGTTTTGAAGATGTAACAGCATGGTTACCTATGAACCTTGGGAAGTATCCCCCTGGGCCCACGCTCAGACTTGCCTGGATGCCCCCAGCATACATCAGCAGCATAAATGCTATCAGAGCAAATGTTACCAGGCAGAATCCAGGACGGTCCGACCCAAACAAGGACCTCACTGACAGGACACGGTCCAGCATTATTTCACATCAGATGCCCCTTCTCCACTGGCTTTCACGACATTAAACCAGGCAAACAAATATTTGATGAGGTTCATCATTGGATAATTATATCCGATGGAATTTTAAATATGCATAACCATATTATTTTTCTTGCTCCAATAGAAGACTGAGAGCTAAAGCTTATACAGGTAATTCACTGCTACATAAAACTGATAGCGATTACGAGGATTTGTTGTGGTTTTTGATGGTAGATAATTAACTATAGTTTACATTTATTACGCCACTTTATATAATAAAAGTAACGCAAGTAAAACGATTTTAGCTTCGAGACGTAAGGAATTCGAAAGGATGCAAACTTCCGCAAAATTCTTCTTCTTCTTCTTCTTCTTCTTCTTCTTCTTCTTCTTCTTCTTCATGTTTATAATTTACAACGTTTTACCGCCACCTACAGGTCATCCTGGATGCGTGCTTTCTGTTCATACAATTAGGGGTGGATAGTAGTATTTAACATAGCATATATTGTCACTGGAAGTACTTTGCATTTTTCTAACACGTATACATGTTGTAAGTTTTATGTTGAAAAAAATTGTTTGGAAAATTATTTTGCATTTTGGAATGAAGATATTTATTTGTATCAGTATTTTTTCACTTCAGTCTTTAAAATATCAGAATTAGCACCCATCTTTGTATTGTTGTCTATCTTCTGATCAGATTCTCAGTATTGTGTATTCTTTTCAGCAGACACTTTTTTATTTGTATTTGAGTAATTTCTTGGTACTTTCTTTTTTACTTGAGTAAATATTTATTGAGGGAGTGCTACTCTTCCCACCGCTGCCAATAATTAATGAAAGTAGTGACATTTTTTGTATGAAATTCCCTTATTTGAGTTGTTTGCTACACAACATTGTAGACCTAAAATATAACTTGGTTTTTGAGTGGTATGTTGCATTAACTTGTTAGTGTTTTCTGAGAATCTGCATCATTGTTAGGTGCAGTGTTTCAAAAAAAATAATTCACCATCTGAAGCTCTTCAGATTTTGTTGCGCTACAACTACACACTTCAACATCATTATTTGACATTCTCAATGATTGACCGCCACAAAATGGTGTACAACAGTGGTTAGAAAAAGATGCATGGCTTCCTTTTTTCTAACAGTAATCAAAAAAGTCTTCAAGTCTTGCTGCAGATTTTTAATTGAATTCTATGCCAGAGAAAATGGCTTTCATTGAAACTAAATAATAACAAAGACATAGGTATGAATTTTAATGTCAACATTCACTGATTTGTTTCTGGAGTGTTGGACAATCTGAAAGTTGCAGGACAGCAGCCTTTGAGGAGTTTGAAAACCCTTGATTTCTGTAGTAGATCTATCTGTATGTTGAAATTGGTTGTCCTCTTTTTTTTTTTTTTTTTCCTGGCCCAGTAGTGAACTAATGCTGGGTTAGCACCAGTTCTTCAAACTATTGGACCAGACAGGATACAAGGAACTGATTATTACTAAACTCTAGGACTAGTTAAACACTGGAACCGGTTTGATGGAAAATGTTCGACGATTATATTACTCAAGCAGAACAAGTAAGTCATTTGAATAAACAACAATAAATTAGTAAAACAGTAATAAACATTTTCAGCACTTTGGCCAAAAGTACCAGTGTGACAAATAATTAATTAATAAATAAATAAATAAATAAATAAACGACTCGATTCCAAAGCATACTTTTTTCACGACTAAAGGCTACATTCACATGATTTTCCCTCCTGGTTGCTTTTGTCGTGGCTGCATGACAATGATCTCGCGAGACTTCGTGGTTCTTTAGCGCGGTGTGGAACCTCTTCTTGCATTTGGCAGCGTTTCATCGGCTTGCACGGACTTACTAAAATGGCGTCTGCTCCCGGTGAGTGAAAAAAATCGCAACATCTTTTACATTAATTTTCCAATTGTTAAGTGAAATGGTTATGTTGATCAAGTTATCGTATGAGAACGTGTTTTGGTGAGACGAATGCGTTTACTTAGGTTTTAATTGAGTATTGTTTCACAATGACCGTTGCCTACGCAGCGTGCATGGCCTAGTTTTAGCTCCTCGAGCTATTGTAGTTGTCGAGTCGACCTTTTATTTAATACAATGGGGGTTAAACTTGACTATTATTTTTTAAGGAGCTGGTATTCTAAAACTTTTTAATAGTGCACCAAATCTGCATGTGGTAGCTAGAACCGTCGTGTAGGGTTTAGTTTGCCTGCTCGTTAGTGAGTTTTCGGTGTAGGCCTAACAACGGGACTGTGTGGATCGCGCGCGCAAACGATGTTTTTATTAGAAAGTCTAACGGTTATAACTAATCTCTTTTCTGTTTACAGATTACAGCTCGTACAACCAGAGTGGTGCTCAGCAGGGGTAAGATTTTTAAGCTAATCCAATATTTACACTATTATCTCATTGTGTTTTTATGACGTTGGTTCACAATAAATAATAGCAATTGGGACTGAGGAATGCTACCCCAGACTGAAAAAAACCTGTGTATTTACTAATGGAAGCCTTTCTTTTCTTGCATGTACATATTTTTGTGCCTATGCATTTGTTGTAATTTATTATTACTCTGTTTGAATGTAGTGCAACTTCAGGATACTAATTTCATTACTTCAAATTAATGAACCTATGCAGTACTTTTTTAATCATGGGTATACAAATGTGCTAGTAGAGGAAGCATTCGTGTGCTGCTTGCATTTGGAGAAATCTTGTTTAGATGAGTTTGTACGGTTTCTAGCTTGGATAATATATATATATATATATTTTGATTCCTCGCAGGTATGCCTCCTATGCTGCCCAGCCATCACAGAATTATGGCCAGTCAGCACAGGTAAGGTTAAAAAAAAATAAAATAAAGTCGTTGTCTATTGTAGATTGAGCTTGCCATATGCCATATGTTGTTGATTAATGGATTGTGTCCATTAATCAACAACAAAAAAAAAAAACTTCACCATGAAAGCTTAAGAGTATTGATTCTTTTTTTGTTTTGTTTTTAGCAAGGCTATAGCCAGCAGAATTATGGATCATACACTCAGCCTGCTGCAGCTGCTGCTGATAGCAGTTATACCCAGACAACCCCAGCAGCTGGAGGATATGCTCAACAACAACAACAATATGGGTCATCATATGGCCAGCAACCAGCAAGTCAGTTTTTTTTTTCTTATTGTAGTCTGTTAGGGTCCAGCTTTAAATTAATGTAGAAAAGGGTGCCTAAAAATGTTTATTGCATCATTCAATAGACAGCTTGCAGGTAATGATACTGGAAACTAAAAAATAAATAAATAAAAAGACAACTTACCAGGGCTGCATATTTAACTGTTATCATCATTCTAGGACAAGTATTATAATCACACTTCCTTTCTTGCAGCTGGTTATCCTCCTACCCAGTCTACTGCTCATGGCTATTCACAGTCAGCCCAGGGTTATGGAGCCAGTGGTTATGACGGCACTCCTGCTACTGCAGCTGCTCCAGCTGCCTCCCAGTCTTATGGGTCTCAGCCAGGGTACACTGCCCAATCTGCCTACCCTGGGTATGGTCAACAGGCTACACCTTCTGCACCACAGAGGTAAAAGTTTTATATATCTCAAACAGGGTTATCATTTTTAAAATAACGTTTTTGTTTTTTTTTTTTTTTTTTTTTTTTTTTTTTTTTGTAATTCCTTCTTTACTGACTTTTTGTATTTGCAGTGCTAACAGCCAACCAGCTAGTTACAACCAAAGCTCCTACTCCCAACCAACATCTTATGGACAGCAGCAGCCTGGATACCAGGGTCAGCAGACTGGATACAACCAGCAGCAGGGCTACCAACAACAGACCCCACCACAGCAACAGGCTCCTCCTGCTTACCCTCCTCAGGGTGCTGGTTCCTACGGGCAACCAGCAGCCAATCAATACAACCAACAAGGTGGACCACCCAGTTATAACCAGTCTGGCCCTTATAGTAAGTTTGGCTTTTTGTCTTTTCTAAAGCTGAGATGGATTGTGAATGGAACACTTTAATATGACTGCAAGCATATGTGGGCTATTTGTACTAATACAGCTGTGTTGCATATTTATAGACAACTACAGACAGGATGGCCAAGGTGGAGGTTCTGGCTATCCAGGGTCTGAACCTGGAAGGTACCCTGGAGGAGGAGGAGACAGCAGGGGCCCGGGAAGGGATGGCTTTGAACGAGGTGGAATGATGCATCGTGGGCGAGGAATGGGTCGTGGAATGGGGTAAGTGTGTTTCCTTAGCGCGTGTTCTCATTTTTATTTTGATCATAGGTGCTGTTGCCATATTGGGCAGGGCTGAGACATTCTGTGGGGAAACAACTGCATTATTCTCCAGAGATCTCACACTTTATTATTTGAGCAACTGCCCTGCTACTTTTAGGTGCCTCCATAATCCAACCCGCCCTATGAGTTGCTGAGAAGATAATTCAGGAATTTGATTCATTCAGTTCACCTAAAAGTTGCAGGGTGATGGCTTTTGAGGCCTTGAGTTGGAGACCAGGTCTAAAATAATGTGCAAAAATGATTTGCTGTCTGAAGTTGTGATGGTGGAGGCACAAAGTCATTGGTAAGCAGTTGAAATGGCTTTATTGCCATTTTAGTCCAGTTTCTCTCAGCTCTGACCTTTTTGGCTGAAGGTAAGTTGGATGTCCCTTTTCCCACAATAATTTAAAAGAGCAACCTGTGCTTAAACTTTAGGTTAATTAGCTGATTTCTAAAGACACGAATTGACTGAGTCAGAACTATTTTTTATTTATTTTATTTTATTTTTTGGGTAGGTGGGAAGTTGGAGACTGGATGGTATTTACAGGCAGCGTTTCTTCTTTTTTCTAAGATGTCTATGTTAGGGTTTTATTAGAAAAGTTTTAAACAAAATGAGTTAAGCCATCGTTTTTCTGTTTAAACTTCAGACCATGTTTTTAAGGAGTTTGGCATAAAATATTTCAAGCCAAGCATCCTGCTTTTGTGCAGTATGTTTGGTTCCTTCTTAAATGCACATTTGTGCTCATTCATACCCACTTGGTACATTGTAATGCCTTTGAGACTTTTTCTTTACAAGCTCATTGATATTTTTCGGGATCTAACACTTGAATGTTAAGTATTCAAAACCAGTAGGTTAAACTTTAAATAAGTTTAAATTGGTTATGGATAAGGGACATATAACACTTGAGGTTCTGTAAAATTATAGATTGTTAGACATAAAACAGTCAAACTACAATTAAAAACAGATGGCAGGTATAAATGGACTGTGGAGGTAAAAGGAAAAACAATAATGAGGATAATGCCAACTTGCACTGTGCCTAAAACCACTGGGAAACTGTTAAAACGAGTGAAGATGCCTGTAATGTCTAAAGACATGTTTCAAATATTGGGAACCATGACCAAAAAAAAAA